GCTGGTCGTAGGGCTGCGACAGTCACTTTTATACGCATCTATGCGTCCCTTCCTTCCGAACGGTAAGGGCTTACGAGCGATCCAACGAGGGAGTCACGATGGTTTTCTTTCTCCGCCCACGCGTTCAAAGTGAAATATGCCTTCGGAAATGAAGATGGCACTTTTCTTAGGAGCATTACCTGTGCGATTTGAATGTGAATTGAGTAGCGCCCAAAAGAATAGCATCAAATTGTTTTACTTCCTAGCTCCGTACCTACTATTTTCTGGGGGTATCAAAACGAAGGTATGGGTTCAAAACCAGCAGTCTTCATGCGGATAGACGGGCGATGCCAATTTCGAAGACGATGTGTTTTATCGCTTACGGAATTTCTGAAAATTTTCCTGAAAATCGCTCTTGCTCAATCGAGCGCACAGGTACAGGAACCGAAATGATGAACTGCGGAAAATCACTCGGCGCTCGCGGTACTTTCTAGCTAGTTGACTTGGTTCACTGCATTAGTTTCCGGCGCAGTTCGGTTTTGTGGGGGTACCGAATGGTACGCAGCTGAGCTTGTACAACCCACCGTGTGACGATGTATATTCCTGTGAAAAAAGTGGACCTGTATTCAATATGAACCCAAATAGGAAACCAGCGAAAGTGAAACCTCCTTCAGGTCTTATTATTGAAGCCGCCCGCATGGCAACGTTTGTAGCCCGCTGCGCTAGGTGGGTTTGCCTGCCACTGTCGGCACTACTTTAATAGTCCCGCTAGATGCCCAAGCTACAACGGACTTCACTAGTGGTAGAGCAACTTAACTGGCAGGGCCATGCTTTTTTAATTTCTTGAGGAAGAAAATTAGAGATCCCCCTCTAAGGATAAAAGTATTTGGCCAGTCAGCGTTCCGGATGGAGAATGAGGGTGGTAAGCTGAAAAAATTTCACTCATAAGCCTTATAGCCTACAGCCGGTCACTCGGCAAAATGTACACTTTGAATAGAATGAATGGTAAAGGAGAAAGTGATCATATAAGTGATAAAATGATGCTGATGGAAAGTTATTCCTTGAAAGGGGATATTCCAGGTTTTTTCTCCTCGGGAGATTCGCGTATTCCTGGAAATCTGGGGTTGTTCGACATGGCAGCGGCTGTCAAGGTAGGTGATGAAAATTCACCGTTCGTGTTAACCTATTGATATTACCGTATTTGTATCAATTTCTTACTACAACACGGCAGCTATTTCAACAGTAATTCCTAATTTAGTTTGTCCATGAGAATGCCGAGAATATCGGCGGTGACGCATCCCGAATCACCGCCTGGGGACTGAGTGCTGGTGGTGCAGCCGTCGGTCAGCTCATACTCAGCCCACTTACAAGAGGTAAGGTACCGTCGTTATCCCTCTGAACGAGGGGGAGGGGGCGTGGATTGGAGTGCCACCAGGACGGTCCGCAGCAAATGGTGCGGGGTGGGGTGTCCTGGCTGCGTTCAGATCCGCGCCCATCACATGCCTTCTCGTTTGCAGGGATGGTGGCTGTCGTACTGTAGTGCAGAAGGATTTGTTCCCCTCCTAATAAGTACTTACAGATTACATTACGAGGTCCATCGAAATGTCGGGGTCTCCGTGGGCTGCTTGGGCGCTGGGACCAAACGTACCTAAATACTCCTTGGAACTTGCTGAGGTAAAATCCGAATTATTGACGTCATAGTTCGTTGATGTAGACGTTTGGATTTAGAAATCCTATTGAAGGCACTCGATTGTGGTGACGACCTAAAAAACTGTATGAAGCAGAAGACCGTCGAGGAAATCTATGATGCTGTCGAGAAAGAAATGATGAGAGATTGAATCTATGATGCTGTCGAGAAAGTGGTAAGGATTGCCATTGAAAGCACATTCTACGATGGTCCACAAGGGCGGAGTTAGCCAACTATTGTAAGTTTCTCATTGGCAAGCTCGTCCTCTCTAGTTGAAGGAACGCCTGAATGAGGTAGGAGGCATAATGGTCGAGCCATCCCGCCAATGCAGGTGGTTGACTCCCTCCGCCCGTATGGTCACCGTGGAATGGCTTGAATTTCTAATGCGTGACTTGCTAATCGCTATTTGTTGCCCGGAACTGTTTAATTGTTCAAGATTTCATGGCTCTGCAAGTCCTGGTCTCGACTGCGTCAAATGGGGACCAGTGATCGATGGAGAGTTCCTGCAGGACCCGGATGAAATGGCCGTCAGTGCACCTCCAAAGGACTCGATTATAGGAGTTTCGGAAAAAGAAGCAGCGTTTTTCAGTAAGTTCGATATATTTTAACAAGCAAGGTAGCCAGGAGCATCGGGTGAAAACTAGGCCACGCCCATTCTCGACTCGTCTGCGACTTCAGCACAACTCAGCGAGCACTATATTGGCATATAGGTAGAAAATGAGCGTACCTG